GTGTGTGTGTGTGTGTGTGTGTGTGTGTGTGTGTATATATATATATATATATATATATATATTTATATATATATGTATTATTGAATTTAATTATACAATATTTGTGTAATTATAATTATATAATATTACTGCCCGCTAAAAATTACGACTTTCGTTAACTTGTGTCTAAAAAAAATCTGTTTGTTTAGACATTGTAATACATTTACTTTCATAAAATAATTTTACTTAAAAATAAAATGTTATTATTAATTTAATTAATATATATTTGTAGTTCTCTAATATGTCCAGTTCTTTGACATGTAAGTAAAAATTAACGAATATCAAGCATTGAACTAGTAAAGATATAGTTTTGCTACTTTACGTGAGTTCACAATATGTTATTGAAATACTGGGATTCGCCACTTAGCCCTTGGAGGAGCTCTTCATGTTGATTACAGCGTGAGAATGCCAACTGGCAATTCATACTTATATAGCCAAAGCATGAACTAATTACAAAGCTGTATTCACATCTTAAGACATTATTTAAGATGGTCTTGAAATAAAATTGAATAAGATGATCTTATATTTAAGATCATCTTAAGTACTGTCTTAGGATGTCATGAATCAATCACAGAGCCGGATTCGCATCTTAAAACATTACTTAAGACGGTCTTGAAATAAGATTCGACCACGAATGGGTGCGTTTAAATTCTTTATCCAGGTGCACTCTATTACTAGAAACACTATAGTATATGTTACATATACTATAGCACTTCTAGTAATAGAATACACCTGAGTGTGGAATCTGAACGCAGCCAACACCGGCCATAGTATTTTTAGTAATAGAGTGCATCCGAGTAGGGAATCTGCACTCTAGCATGGAACAGCACCTACCTAACCGATCGAATCATGGACATTGGCTTAGTAGTTCAATATCCACGAAAAATGGACATAGAGGCGCTGCAAATCAGCCAACTTTCCCATCACGCTCTAAATGTATGGCCACTCTCATTTTTCTCTCTGCTGCTATTGTTGAAATACACGTAAACATAATACATATATATGTACGTACTCTGCTACGAACTCGTAGATGACATTGATTTTTTATAGAAACTGTTGTTTTTATTCACCATAATACTTATTAAGTATCCAAAGTGAGTTTATTGCTATCAACTACGAAATTATATTTCATTACAATAATCTCATTAAAATTAATTTCATTTCAATCAGTCAACATGGACACTAAAACTCTACCTAGTCTCCTGAGTCTGAAAGTAGCCCCTCCATCAGAGCTACAAAACCAGAATGTTGATAATGGAGTTGGAGAAGGAGACAGCAACTCGGTAAAGTTGCCAGCTGCGTTAGAGCAGGCCTTAGCGTTCAAGACTGAGAGAGCCAAAGAGGTGGGTGGTGATCCCAACGATATTGTGCCTGCGAATAAATCGCCAAAGGATGATGGTGAGGATGTACCTCACATAGAGGATGTCATAACGGAGCTGGAAACATCCACAGAGAAGACAGAAGCTAAGTTGAACAAAATGAAGAAGAAGAAGAAGTCCAAGAGGAAGAGACACAATTTAGAGAAGAAGGATACAGAGCAGAGGAAGGAAAGCGTAGAGGGTAATGCCAAGCACAAGGAGGACATGCCTGAGATCGAGTACATACAAGAGATACCAAGTATAAACGACTTGGAGCCGATGTACCGTCAATTCGCCCGAGTTTTCGAGGCTTTCAAGCTTGTGGAGCCTGAACCGAGTCTAAACGACGCGGCCGATAAGGGTGAACCGATTGGGCAGTATCCACCAGTGACTAGTATACAAGCCACCGGCAATGTGCCCAACAAAGTACCGCTATTAGACGACTTTGATGACGAGGCAAATCAACAGCAACAGCAACAAGGTAGAGATATTTCTCAGTATTTGAAATGATCGAATATTCAGTATTATTACAACTTCGATATAAGAATTTTAAATAGGAGAAACAACTGTAGTTTTATGCAAGAATGGTCCAACCCATGTGAAATATGTTTCAAGAAAAATAAAGATGAAGATTTGATACATGATTTAAAAGTATAGATAACATTGAGATTCTTCTCAATTGTTCAAGAAGTCAAGTATGGTCATTTTTGGTTTCTTTAAAGTGGTCGCTTCATAAACTAATTTTGTAAGGAATCTTTTCAGATTTTAGCAGTATGCTAATCGTATGGTTTTTTCAGTATAAACTGATTCCTCTGGTCATTCTGTGTATAAAAGTATTAGGGTAATATCATCGAAAAGTAAATACTTTCTGCGTTTTATATTTTTATCCTATTACTTTTCAATGCAAAATACGAAATATCTTGTAAATTATTCATTTTTAGTAGAATAATCGATAAAATCAATTGTTATAAAAAAGCATGCAGAAACTTTAAGAGCCAATTGTTCCAACTTCTTAGAAAGATACTTGACAGTTAAATCGTGGGTCTGTCTTTGTCTAATTTGAAGGAAAAACATATTTAACTGTCAGGTAGCTTACTAAGAGATTGGAACAATCGGCCCTCAATAATTTCTCTCGTCATTCTACATACAAAAGTATGAAGGTGAAGTAATCGAATAATTAATCGTTTACGAGATATCTGATACCTTGTATTGAACAATGATAGAATAAAATATAAAATATCTCGAAAAACATTCACTTTTCGATGATTTTATCCCAGTACTTTTGTACACAAAATGACCAGAGGAATCGATTTATGCCAAAAACTATATGACTATTAAACTTTAATATAAATTTATAACTTAAATTTATAAATTTATAACTATTAAAAAATTAAAGTTTACCTTGATAGGTATTTTCAGTCATTCTAAAGTCAAATAAATGTTACTATCTTTTGACCCTCAATATTCTACAACTTTTAATAGAAACACTTTTTCATATCTTTCTTAATTTCTGAGATCAAGCTATAAAGAGTTATGTGAGCTTTAATATACAGAGTGGCCTATTCTGTATAATATATACCAGTTTGGCATATAGAAATATGTAGTAAATATGTAGTAACTTATCTTACAGTAAAACTTATCAATAAGACAACTAACACACACTAATCAAGTTTCTTGAAAAATCATTCTTGAAGAAGTAATAATGCTTTCAATTAATTTTTAATTTATTCTATAAATCTGAGTTTTTAGTTCATTTATTTTTATATATATCTATGTGTAATGTTAGTTTATACTGCTATAATGTATATGCAATGCTTTGTAGTATTTTATATTAATATATCTACCTTAATAAATCTTAATTTTAATACAATAATAAAATATCTTTTTCAATTTAAAAGCAAAAATATTGCAATATTTTTATAGCTTTTTTATTTTAAAAGCAACGATTATTCAGTATCTTATTCAATATTCAATATTCAGTATCTTATTGATTATTCACTCGATATCCATATGAATGCTTTCAAGATTGACGAATATAAATATATATAAACATATAAATATAATTATATATAAACATATAAAATACTTTAACGAATATATATAAATACAATATTTTTTCTCGATATCAACAAGGCACAGGTGAGAATGGAGCCCCGCGTTTGTCGAAGAGGAAGCTGAAGAGACTCACGCGACTCAGTGTGGCGGAGTTGAAGCAACTAGTGGGTCGTCCCGACGTTGTGGAGATGCACGACGTCACCGCGAGGGACCCGAAGCTGCTCGTGCAGCTGAAGGCGCACCGGAACACAGTGCCGGTGCCGCGGCATTGGTGCTTCAAGCGTAAATATCTGCAGGGTAAGCGCGGCATCGAGAAACCGCCGTTTGACCTGCCCGACTTCATCAAACGCACCGGCATCACGGAGATGCGCGCCAGTCTGCAGGAACGCGACGACACGCGCACGTTGAAGGCAAAGATGCGGGAGCGGGCGCGGCCGAAGCTAGGCAAGATCGACATCGACTATCAAAAGCTGCACGACGCGTTCTTCAAATGGCAGACGAAGCCACGTATGACGATTCATGGCGACCTTTATTATGAAGGTAAGGAATTTGAGACGCGCCTGAAGGAGAAGAAGCCGGGTGAGCTGTCGGATGAGCTACGCACAGCTCTGGGTATGCCGGTGGGCCCTAACTGTCAGAAAGTGCCACCGCCGTGGCTGATCGCGATGCAGCGATATGGCCCGCCGCCGAGTTACCCAAATCTCAAGATACCCGGCCTGAACGCGCCTATCCCGGAAGGCTGTGCGTTCGGCTATCATGCCGGCGGCTGGGGCAAGCCACCAGTGGACGAGACTGGACGGCCACTCTACGGAGACGTGTTCGGCATCTCGCGCACATCCGGCGCGGATGCTATGGACGAGGAAATTGACCGTGGTATGTGGGGCGAGCCCGAGTCGGAGTCGTCGGGCGATGAAGACGATGACGAGGACGGCGAAGAGGGCGGCGAGGCCGGCGAGAACGACGGCAAGGACGCGGACGGCGATGCAAGCGGCCTGGTTACGCCGGGCGCGGAGGGTCTGATCACACCTAGCGGCATTACGTCGATTCCGGCTGGTTTGGAGACTCCGGAGACCATCGAGCTGAGGAAGAAGAAGATTGAGAGTGAGATGGAAGGTGGCGACACACCTGCATTGTACACGGTGTTGCAGGAGCGAAGGACTGAAGGTCTAGGCGCTAGCATGATGGGTAGCACGCACGTATACGATATGACGGGAGCAGCTGGCGGCCAGGCACCTCCTTCTGTCATAGCTGCTCGTCGCGGTGGTGCAATCAGTGCTGGCGGCCCCAGCGACGCCGCTAGAGCGGAGAAGGACGGCGCGGTGGAGCTGACATTGGACCCCAGTGAACTGGATCTTGACTCGGAGGCGATGGCGTCCAGGTACGAGGAGACGATGAGGTCGAGACAGGCGCACTTAAGGAGAGAGGATCTGTCGGACATGCTTCAGGATCACGTGCAACGACAAAAGGTACGTATTATGTGGCAGATGTATAGTGCTCGAGAAAATTACGGATAATTATTGTGATTAAAGTTCGAATTATATTATGTACGATTTTATATCTTCTAACATACATATTGAACGACAGTTTAGTACGCTGCATGAATAACTATTATGTATTGGAAGATCTATACAGTGAACTGTATAAATCTATACAGATTTATACTGAGATGCCTAATTCAACATACATGTCAGAAAGCATGAAATCGAGTTTTTAGTTTTAAAAACAATCGCAAGTTTCAACTATTTTCAATGAAATCGCGCCTATAGAGCTCGTCCTACAATATCGCGTGTATTAATTTGCTAATCATTGTTTTTATTATCCCCAAATTTTACATAATGGTTTAAGAAATGATAAAATCTTTACTCAGATTGACGTACTCTACCTGTACACGTACGTTGTTGTGATTTTCATCAGATATTTTGTGTATTTATCTTTCACTATTTTAATTTAAAATATCTTTTAATATATGAGTATATATTTTTGTTTCAGAGTAAACGAAAACGTCAACAGATCCAGGATACAAAAACATCCAAGAAGTATAAAGAGTTTAAGTTTTAAATGTCATATCATCTCCCTAATTATGTATCACCTTCCCCATAATTATGTACTATAATATAGTAATTAAATTGTTTTTGCGATAACATAAGATTTTATATAATATTACAAATCTTATGATATATGTATGATATATGATACTTCAAAATATCACAAAATAATTGCATTGCAATAATTTAAAATTCCCGTTAAAGTCCCCCGTTTTGATTTTAAGATACTTTGATTTTAAGATTGATTTTAGCATACTTTGCTAAACTTATTACAAATTATATTTCATGTCTGTATATGTGACTTTTAATTCGTAGTTTAGTAGATAATTAAAAATGGATTAATAGTAGCTGTAATGTATTAAATTACCAACTTGTAATATCAATTTTCTCTGTTAACGCATATTTTTCAAAAAGCATCTATAAATTTAAGTATATATATTATATATCATTTTGTGTTATATAAAATTATATATATATATATATATATATATATATATATATATATATATATATATA